GTGCCCAATATCTGAAATTACAGTCAACTCTATTTCATAAGTACTTTTCCAAGTTTGTTTGAGAACTGTATATATCTTAATGAGTACATGGGTCCTGTGTTTCAGATTGTAATGTTATCATTGAATAACTCCTTGCTAGTCTGAAGTACTGTAAGCTGAGTATATTTGAAAATTATATAGCTAAGGTAAATTACTCCCATGTCCTTTACATTTTCCTAAGATGACAACTGTGAAGTCAGAAGCAAATATATGATTCTCAGTCATATTTGACTGCATGATACAATGTAGGGGCGGGGAGGCAGAAAAAGAAAATAAGCAAGCACTTCTAATCTTCTTACTTACCTCTTTTTTCTTCTGTAACCCCAGTCCTATCCTCCACTTATGGCTGTGATATTTATACAAATGTTGCAAGTGTTAAAACATCTTAACATTTGGTCCCACAAAACCTTGAACCTTCACTTTGCAAACCTTAAGGCATCGCAGGCTAAGGACTGATGTGTCAGCTAGTTAGTTTATAGTTTTAGTGTTGGCTGCTCAGCCATCTTACTGCACCGAGTGTATGCTTCATCACTAAAATCCTCAAAGAAACAAAATAATAAAAGTATTGATTGTCAGATTGAAGTTTGTCAGATTGGGATTTGGCTTAATAAAGTAGAAAGTGAACATAATGTACAGATGAAATATAAGTAAACAAAGGCTTTTATTGACATGAAGAACAGTACAATAGTTTGGCACTGTGTCCTTAAATCCAATAGTAAAGTTACAGATTAGAACTTCTGAAGGTCTTAAACACTGACTTTGTTTGCTAAGAACATAATTGTTCCAACATCCAATTCTCACTCCACTTTTAAGTATGAAAATCCATAAAGTCACTTTATTATGGGATATACTGGAAAATATCTGATGTATTTCATATTTCTGCTAAGTTCTCATTCTTTGTATTGTATAATGATGTGGAATTAAAACGTTTTGACAAACATTCTTCGTATTCTTCCCTTGTCAGAAGCCCCTGAGTTACTTTTTTGCTTTCTTCAAATTTTGGTAACACAACTGCAATGTAACCCTCTGTGGAAGGCTAGGAAAACAAATATAGATACAAACACAAAAACATTTGTAAGAAAATTAAAAGGAAGGGGCAGATGGAAAAGAAAGCAAATAGAAGTTTGACATCCTGACCTTTTCTTGTAGAAGAGATGGATTATCCAGAATGTTTTCATTCACTTCTATTAATTTTCCTCTTATACAGCTGCAAAGAATTTTCAGTTTATTAAAAGCTAGAAGAGTACAAGCAACACAATAAAACAAAATTTTACCTCTTACCTATAGATGGTGTACTCTTCTCCATCTGAGCAGAGAATTCGACATAGAGGAGCAAGTTCTGTTAGAAACTGAGCACCCTGGAGGGAAACAGCATATAACTAATTAGGATTCTTGGAAAATGATACATAGTGACAGGCTAAGCAGTGTGTGACACCAACAGACAGAATTTAACATTTGAAATGAATGTTTACTATAGTTATTCAATTTGATTCCTCCTTTAATGTAGGCAGAACTGATTATGTACTAACTTTTGGATGTAGGAAAACCCATACTAAAACCCAGTTTTTTATGAAATCCACAAGGCTTGTAACGTTTTTCCCCCCCCCCCACATTTCTAAAGCCACCCAACTTCTTGATAATTCTGGGTAGTATACAAATTTAAAGCCAAAGAAGTGGAAGAATACCATGGAACAAAAAAGATGGTCATTCTGGTGGAACAGACAAATCCTGTCACATAACCCACCTGGCCCAAAGCTTGGGAAAAGAGCAAGGTCTTCAAGGTTTGTTCAAAGAAGAACAGAGCTGGGACATTAAAATCTCTGGGGGGTTGCTCTTCTATTATACTTATAGACTGCAAACTCCAAAAATAATTTTTAGAAGCTGTTACACAAAATTACTGAAATGTATTGAGATTTCACATTTTCATATGCTATAAATGAAATTGCTGAAATCTCACATAATTTCAGTTGCTTGTTAACCTTTGCCAAGGGAAGAATGTGCCCAATATCTGAAATTACAGTCAACTTCTGCCTTAAGCATCTTACTGTTTCTTAGCAAAACCTACCTCACAGGGCAATACATATAATCTATCCTCGTATTTCTGATCTGGCCTTTCCAGTACCTCAACAACTAAAAGACCAGTATTGGACATGTGACCAATTAATTCCACTGATTTCAATAACTTTATGCTAGAAGATATTAATGAGAAGGTGCTGTTAGGCCATTTTCAATGGGTACTAATTACACTAGGTCTCCTGTAGGGACAGCAGCCATTGAACATTGGGATAGCAAAGATCTGGACCACCACTACGTGGCACTTTTCTGTATTTCTTTGCTGTCATCTAATGGTTATATCAATTTCTGCAGCCCAAATTTGTACTTCTTTCCAAGTTGTCAACTTACACGAGTGTGCAGCTATTTTAATAGTATGTGCTAGCATGAGTAGAAAATTAATGAGGCATGGACACAAGAGAATTACTCCGCTACCTAACATGTTCTGGTTTACGTTCTCTTCAAATGGAAAACAAGCGGAAGAATGTTGCACATTATGCTACCCTGACCTTATCTGCTGTTCTATCTTGCCCATAGGAAAATAAGTAACTACAATTTTTTCTGTTTCCCTTCTCTTAGCCAGAATGTCAAAATAAATTCAGACAGACAGGACATGCCAAAAAGTGGCCATTCTCTTACTGATCTGCCTTTTCTTTGAGATTGGCCCCTCTTATTTTATCATTGGTCTGCTGATAAAGTGTTTTGCCAACAGGGACATACTGACAGAGTTAAGAAAAAGTTTGAGCCTTGGAGTCTATATTTAATTGATACTAAATATTTATTATACAATTGATTTTAATTTAACTGATTTTAAATTTTAATTGATTTAATTGATATTAAATTAAATTAATATCAATTATTTAATTGGTATTACAATTCTTTCACTTTGTGCTAGCCTAATAGATTTTTTAAAACAAATCTAGGTTGTTACTTAAAACTGAAACTAGGATCTGTGGTCATGGTAAAAATTTAATGAGCCGTACCCGTTTAGACTTTCCAGAAACTTTATTTTGCAACCTGCTGCAGTTTGCACTAATCTGATAACTAATACTCTTAATTGGTTTTCCTTTTTGAAGAAGAGGATGGGCATCCGCTATAGTGATGACACAGATTCTACAAGACAAGAAGTTTTGTTTATTCAAAACATGTTTATATATTTTTCAAAACAAGACTTTTTCCAGAACCATCTGCAGCATTTTAAATTATAATTTTAAAATTAATTTTAAAACAAGGGAATCAATAAAACAGACACAAGGCAAAAAAATGGCAAAGTATAAAATAGAAATTGAGATAAAATTGAAGCATAGAAGGCAGGATGAGAATGGAAACACACATGTAAGAGTAACCAATATTACTCTAGGTAAGCATTCTATTATAATTTAAGAAAGCCAGAGTTTTGCTTCAATGAACAGAAAAAAGCCCTCTGTGAAGGTAACATTGCTATAATATTTAAATTAATTGTGATGTTATTTAGATGTGCATTTGATTTATGCTTGCAGTTCTCAATCCAGCAAGGCTGCTTAGATGTGGAAATCAATTGCAAAGGGTACCTTTATAATTGCATTAGTATATAGAAGGAAAGAGAAAAAGGCAGAAGAAAACTAAATGAGGTCAAAATACAGATATTTAAAAAATCTTGGTTTTTAAAGAAAATATTAAATCTTAAACTTTATTAAATGTATATAACCATCCATCTCACACTTGTGACTCTGGGCAGCGCACACAATTAAAAACAAAAGACTTATAATTAAAAAAAAATGTAAAAACCTGATTGATAATAAACTGATCTAAAGTATGAATATTCTATTACCTCATGAATTCCCTCCCACTTCAATCAAGGGATCTTATCACAGAACTTGGGCATCTGTAGGGACCAATGACATCAAAATGGCAGATGTGATTCTGACTAAACTCCACCCCTTTTCACTTGTATAATGAATAAAAAGGGGTGGAGCTTTGACTGATATCTATCATTTTGAATTTGACAGCGCATGCAGTTGCCCCTGTTACTGGGTAAAGATTCTCTTGAACAAATTTGTTCTAAAATACTCAGAAATACAAGATTTATCTCACTGAATTCAAGCCAAAGCATTTCTAGTGCTACACTATACTGTTTTAGTCAGGTCAATTGATCCTATGAATGCATTCAAGCAGGCCAATGGTCAACCCCTCTTATCCTCAGTGTCTGTTATTGAGAGTTACAGTGTATCAGGACATGGAAGTTAATTAATATATTCAATAGCTATTGATCTACTCTTCATAAATTTGGCTAATCACTTTTAAACCCATCTGAGAGCTGATCTATAACTGTTCTTTCTTTTTCTGGATTCCAGAAGGTAACAGCAGTTAACTACTGTATTTGGAAAAAGTCATAAATACAAAACAATGGAGCATATTGTTGAATATCAACTACCCCGCTGTATCTATTTTTGAAAAATAGAAGGGACATAACAGATTTCAAATCAAACATTTTTCTATCTTTAAGACATGTGGCTGGTGTTTTATATTCCTTAGTTTTACAAAACTCATTAATTTCTTATGTTGAGAAATTACTCAATTACACATTCATCAAGAGTAAATCCTACTGAATGTTGTAGAACTTCATTTTGTATAGTAATATAGGCCACAAAGATACTTAGAAGTATAACCTTATGAAAATTACCTACATAGGCTGTTTTGCTTAAACATTTTCCTGCTGGCTGGTGATATTTGGAGAAGTGGGGGAGGGGCACAAAACCAAAGGACTCTACCAGTAACTTTACTTAACATGTCTGCACATGATATATCAGGACATAACTGTTTGCTGGCAGGTCAGAACAGAGGCAACAGCGGAGGATAGGGATCAGAAATAGGGAGAACAAATTGGTAGAATTTTCTGCCAGATCAAAACAGGAGGATAGCATGTTAACTCTGGAGTGGTGAAAGGCTCTCAGAATTTAACCAATGCCTTTTAAAAGTGTCCTTTTAAAAATAGGTTTCCATACCTGGCTTGTAAAAACATGTGGTAGGTTCTCTTGAATTATAATTTAATTGAATACAGAAGCATTTTTGTATAAACAGGCATATAACTTGAATTCTTACCTATTAGAATGTTGCAATATGCAATGATCTTCACAATGATTACCTTTTACATCTGGGGAAAGAAAGTTAGCCTTTACTTAACTTCTACTCAGAGTTCAGGCTGACTGAAAGTATGTGAAACTCTCTCCAAAAAGACTTGAGGCATTTTAATAGCTAACAAACTTAATTTTAGCACACATTTGTGTGGACCGGAGTCCACTTCTTTAAATAACCAGAATGCTGAATCAGCTGGCAAATAATAATATATGCATGTAGAAAGAAAGGGAGTAAAAAGTTACCTATAAGGGGCAGAGCAGAATAAAATGCAAGAAATATAGAGATAAGAGCTGACAATGTTAAATGATGTACAGGTAGTCCTTGTTTAGCAACCACAATTGGGACCAGCAACTCAGTTGCTAAGTGAAATTGCAACTGTGCCTATGATCTTCAGCTTTACTTTATAGAACTGCGAAGGTCATAAATGCAAGGATTGGTCACAAAGTTACTTTTTCATCACCTTCATACTTGCAAATGGTCACTAAACAAGGCAATCACTAAATGAGAACTACCTGTACACCAATGATTCACAAATCACCATAGATAAATAATGAAGGCTTAATAGGTAGCATCATACCCGCAGCATGGTGCCTAAGTTACACTCCTTGCTGTGCTGAATTCTTTAACAGTTATTACTATTTACACAAGTTGCTTTTCAGAGTCACGTATGCAAACCACAGGTTTAAATCTTTCCTAAGGACTGATAATGCACTTTGCTACAGTAAGAGAGGCATGATGAGTCTCTTGATGATAACTGCCAGCAAATACATACAGAGCTGCAGGGTGATATCCTTAGGGTTCCAACAATCACACCTGCCTATATCTAGGTTCCTCTATTCCAGATTTTCTCAACCTTGGCAACTTTAAGATGTGTGGACTTCAACTCAGGACCCCAACATGCTGGCTGGGGAATTCTGGGAGTTGAAGTCCTCACATCTTAAAGTTGCCAAGGTTGAGAAACTCTGATCTATTCCATCCCCAACCCCAACAAAAACAACCCCGTGGGAGGGAAAAGGTGGGAGCCTGTCGGAGACGGCTGGGATAGAGGCGGAAATAGCTGGTGCCGCAAAAGCGTTTTTTAAAAGGTGTAGACCTCTTTCTCAGTTCGCCTCCAATCCGGAGAGGGAGACGGGCGAGGGTCGGGGATCAACTACCTGGCTTGTACCAGCGGGTGAAATACCGTTCCGTCACGCCGGGGAACGTTGCTATGGAAGCCGGGACCTCCGAAGGCCCCGCCGCCATGATTCCAGCCATGGGCGGAGCAAAAGAGCCGCGCTTCCGCCTCAGGTCCCGCAACGCCAAGATCAAGCGGGCAGTCGGGGGCGCGGCTTAAAACTCGGTGCGAACCAGGTCATCACTGTAGAGCTATACATATAAGAGACAAACGCTCCTCATTTTATGGTAGAAATTTCCGAGCTCACGTGAAAAAGCCAGTTTAAATTTTCTTTAGGTCCATAGTAGGAATTGTCTATAAAAATCAAGAAAGAAATCCTACTGATCCTGCCCCAAGGAGTCAGTATAATGCTATCAGCGTCTGTTCAGAAGAAAACTGGTCGAAGGCTCACGAAAGACCGAAATGCATGCTTTTCCTCCGCGAGTGTTACTTCTTAAGATTTTGAAAAACTAGGACGGAGGAGGATGTATTAATGATTGAGGGAGACGGTGGCTGGCCACAGCCCTGCAAATTAAACCCCGCTTTTCCAATATTGCAAGTCATTTACAAATATTTTCATGAGAAAGTCACCCAAGGCTGCTTTGATGGAAAGAAAAGTATCTTTAAAACGGTCAATTCTCTAAACTTGCTCTCCAAAGCGGAGCAAATGGCACGTGAAACATCGCCCCGCGCTGATTGGAGCGCGGGCGCATTGTTGCATTGATGTTTGAATCTTTAAACAACAATAGAACAAGCCCTGAAAACAAATGGCAGTTTTTGCTGCCCTCTTTTCGGGCCGGGCGAATTAATCACGCCGACGGTAAAATTATAAACGTCTCCTTTACTTTCTTTAGAAACTCTCAGGGAAAAAAACGGAGGAAAAAGCTGCCAACAAAGTCTGTGTCAGTCTACACATTTCATGGCTCTATGAGCATAGGCTTTGTCCCCAGCTGATCTGTACGCGCCCTCCGCACCGAATCCCCTTAACGGCGGTACTAGCCGTGCCTAAGACAGACCCTGCTGTTTCTGCGAAGCTTCATGCCTTTTAGAAAAGTAGTTACAGGTAATGGGGATTAAGAGTAGGATTTAAATAATAGTATGTCGTTTAATTTTACGAATCGGTAAAGATTATTTTTATTGCATTTACATGTGTATGTGCACCTCACTGGATAAACTGATACAGCAAATGTGCATAGGGTTCACACTGCATCTTGGTTTCTCTGGCCAAAGCCCTCAGTAAATAGCAGTCAGCAAGGACTAAAACGCACTGTGAAGTCTCCGGGAGTTAAACTTGCATCAAGTGAGATATTTTTTCCAACTGATTTGCAGCAAATCGAGTTTTCTTGTCTTCTGCAGCCAACGCTGTTTATGGGGTTGGTTTACCAGCATGGCTTTCAAGTTGATATTTTGAAAGGCCTGTCTCCAGTGTTCAGATTGGTTTTCCTAGTTCTCCTGGGACTTGGGCAGCTAGCAATCTTTCTTCTCCCCTTCCCCACTAAATAACTAATTAAAATAAGGAATTATAAGAGCTTGTTTTGCCATTGTGATTTCTTTCATAAATTGCTTTTCTGGAATGCTAGTAAACAGTTCCTGTAGCCTTTTTGCAACTATTCCAACGTCATCCATCTCATATTTTACAGCATATTTAGCTACAATACACAAATGAACTCACATTGATACAGCACATTTCATTTCTCTGTAGATAAGAACCAAAAAGTGATCTAAAAATAAAAAGTAAAAACAAAACCTACATAGTTGAATATGAATTCTGTATCAATTATACAAATGGCCTTAAGAACTTGATATACAGGTAGTCAGTTTAAGAACGAGTTCCGTTCCCTAGGTCTGTCCTTAAGTCAAATTTGCTTGTAAGCAAGAACAGTATTAATTGTATAATACTGTATAAGTAGTATTGTGTAATTAACTTGAACCATTGTGCATTTTACTGCCCTCTTTTCAGGCCAGGCCAATTAATCTCACACAGAGAGAGAAAGAGCTGCCAACCCAAAACTAAAGTCAAATCATTGTGTATTTAACTCAAATTTTGCTACAACAGGCTGTTATGGGTCATCTGTAAACCTGGCGTTCCTAACCTGGGGATTACCTATATTTGAATGCATGCTTTGCCATCATGAATTGACTATTTTAGAAATTTGGTCTACATATACTAATTATATGTTTAATTTCCTATTTTTCCTAGTGTTAAGTTTGCTGATATAACTTAAGTACTTTTGAAACACATGTAAAACTGATTATATTTACATGTAATGTAAATATAACTGTTTATTATATTTACATTTATTACATGTAAATATAATTTTTATTTTATTATAAATATATAATTTAATAAAAATATTTTTATCAAAAACTGATATTAGCATATGCAAATTTTAATTTTGTGTTTTTCCTCTTTCTCTTTTTACATATAAAATGTTAAAATATTCTGAATAAGAATAAAACAGCCAAAAGATGGCGCTTTCGAGTTTGGGGCAAAAATCCTTAGAAGCAAGACATTCCCAGGATTCAGTTCTGAATAATCATAGTAATCTAGGAATGGTCTGCTTAAAAGATGGGAACTGTGTGAGGTAATGGTTAGCCATGTTGGACAAGGCCCAAGGAGAATCCCACTGAGTGACTCTGGCTAGTTATAATCTTTCCGCCTAATCTACTTCATATAGTTGTTGCAACAAGGTAGGAAAAGCATTCAGAGCATCACTCCTGAAATTCTTTACGATCCCTTTACCACCAATGGCCATATCTGTATAACAAAGTAACATGTTGCATCTGCGCATGTGCATTTTCTCCTTAAAAGACTGTTCATGTTGCTCCATGAAGCTGAGCTAACAAATGTCTCTTATCAGCTACTTTAATGATCTGGCAGTTTTCTGTTATGTATGTTCTTCAACTTTTTTGTAACAGCAGGTTTTCAAGAATGCGGATCCTTAGAAAGCGAAGAATGTTCTGTCACTTCTTCTATTCTAAGCATACATGGTGTGAAAAAGTTGTTCTGATTCAAATATTCATCATCTACCAAATAGCTGCATGAACCCTTAATAGAACTGCAACTGTTATATCCATATAAATACACAATTCATAGCAGAATTCCTACAATATATTTCCTATTCCAGTGGTCATCTACTTAGCTCATTCCACCTGCTTTGTGGTTCTGCCAACATGTTCATCTAAATACTTTACATCACTTGTTAAAAAGATGCCAAAGTCTAACAAGCAGCTGCAGATGTGTGTTCAGTATTGAAATTTGTATTTAGATTTCTGAAGCAAAAGAAATTTTCCCAGTAGTATCAATAAAATACACAAAAACATACTTTGGACATATAGTCAGACCAAGGATCATATAATTTTAATTGCAAACAAAATATTAGATATCTTCATTGGAATACATGTTTGCAGTAACATAACTGTTCTCTCCCACTTTTACAAGAATAAAAGTGGTAATTTTAGGTTTTTCTACATCAGCCCTATTAAAAGCAACGGTTGACATGTTTGTACTACTTTAATATATACAAGACAAACTCTGGCAATGCATGCTCTAACTATATTTGCAATATTACTTTTTTAAAAGAAATTGCAAGTTACAAACTATTTATAGTTTTAATTTTCACTATGTTTGGTAAAAGGTAATATTTAATAAGCCAATTTTCTCACTTCGCTACTGGTAATCCACTGCAATTTGTGCAAGTTTTTACTATTAAAATCTCTGTGACTAATGGGGGGGAAGTGCCTACAATTAAACTGTACAGACAATATCAATAGTATGAAAAATAAAACATGCATTTAAAGCAGTGTACTACTTCAATGAACAAAGAAAGTTCAGTTTGTGGAAGCAATTGTGATCCTTCAGAGATTTATCCCTGGATGAAGAAAGGGAGGTGGTTTCACAATTTTTTCCATCACCCTGCACCTCTGCATCTCTCATACCTCCCTGGAGGATCACTGAGCCTCTACAGCAATTTTTCAGGAGGCACAAGAAACTGGCAAAAATTCTTACTCCTCCTCAAGTGCAGCTCTGCGTCTGAATGCAATACTATAAGTTTATGCTGAACACAATTTTATGTTCAAACACAGAGATAAGTAACATGATACCAAAGCCCAATAGAATTCCTGCGTTTTGTAATAGGAAATATCCCCAGCGGCTGCATCCATGATCACTAGCGTCATTGTGAAGCATTTCAGGCACCTATAAAGACACACATAATTTTAAGTCATGCATGTTATAAAAATAATGTTTCTACGTATTCAATGGCTAATGTTGGTAATATTAATCAACCCTCTATAATAATACATGTGAAACCTGCTAGAAAATATTGCAGTATATTCTCATCTATAAAAGATGCTCCTATTCTTCCTTTTAGCCAGTTACATGTATTATGTCTAGAAAATTAAGGAACTAAATTCATGTTCTTTCTCCTTACATTTCTATTTCTGTTTTTCAGTAAATACTTAATTTTCCATGCCTCCTGGATCCACTGATCATTATGATCCTTAAAAGACTATTGTGGCTAGTGGCCCCTGATCAAGTATGGGTTAAAAGCATTGTGCTTCAACAAATCTAGAGATTCTTCTCAGCATACTATTTCTCCCCCCCCCCCAATGCAATGATTAGAAGGAATCTTACTTAGGAATGCATGTACCAAGGCTTCATTCTTAACATGAATCCAGGATGGTCCTCAGAAAAATAACAGCAACAGAGTGAATGAATTTACCTGGGCATATATGCCAGAATGGGCATATTATTTGGGCAAAGCTTTTACCAAGCTAATATTATTTCTCCACCCCCATCCCTCTAATCACAACTTCTACTGGCTAGAGAAGTTAATAAGCATATTCTGAAGCCCATACCAGGCTAGTGTTCCCACAAGAATATCTCACCAGCACTCCAAAGGAAATGTGGCTGTATAAATTTGATAAATAAATAAATGTGCTATTAATATCAATGTCTGTTAACAAGCATATACTTACCATATCAACAAGAGCAACATACATGAACAGACCAGCAGTGAGGGCAAAGATCCACATGGAAACATTGTCAGCATAGTGGCCAATAAGTATCCCAGTAGCCATTCCAAGGTATGCTAGCATAGCTGAGAGAGCATTATAAAGAACAGCTTGTTTGACTGTCATACCAGCTTTCAGAAGTACAGCAAAATCTCCTTCAAAAGAGAGACACAAGCATGTTTATATCAATCATTTATATTAAACTGTCAGCATTTCACTCCACATGGAAGTCCCTTCAAAAATTATGAGGGTTTTTAAAAATATCACTTGTTTTCATATAATCAGGTGCTTCAAAAGTTCAGGAGAGTAAAGACAAGAATAATCATAATTACTTGTGTCAAATTTTGTAATTCTGTATGTGTTTGCAGATACACAGATATATACAAACTAGGATTATGCAGTGCTTCACTTTTGAAAGGCAAAATGTACCACAGTGGAGCTTGAGGAGCACCTGTCAGCTGCTTCTTAAAGCAACTATGTCTTTTCCCAAGATAGCATGATTGTCCCCCTCAGCTGGAGTACAAAACCAAAAAAAGACAGAGTTGCTTTACGGAACAGCTCACTATGTATTCACAGACACTCCAAAGGACCTTTTTCTCTTGAAATCTGATGTCAGAATCCTCGCAATCAACTAGCTTGCTTGCTTCGTTTCTGCCATTGTAGCTGAAGGGGGGGGGGGGCGCCATGCAAGGAAGGAGCCGTTAGAAGCAGATGGGCTGTTATTGGGTTCTCAGGAATGCTCAGGTTCGTACCAACGGGCGACGGAGAAGAAGTCTGGGAAAGCTGGCAAGGGGAGGGCAGTAAGAAATGGGTAAAAGTAACTTTTTGGTGCACACAGGCTTAGTCTTAGCAACTCTTTAGACCTGTACACTTTCTCTCAATAAATGAACTTTTCTTTGAACCTACTGTACATCGGTTTCACAGAGAGTTTCTTTCGTTGGGAGCCGGAGGTGACAGATCATTACATCTGAATTTTTCCATTATTCTAACAGACATTCCTACAATTTATGTTAAGGTGGGATAAAACACTTTGAAATTATTTGGTATTAAAACCCTTTAAATTAGAAGTGAGCAATTGAATTGTGTTGAATCCTCACAAAGTGCACCAAATCAGATTAGGCTTGTATGAGTTTTGGTGCTTCTGAACATTGTAAAAATGAACCTTCTCTTTGATTAGAGAAAAGACAATATTTACATTTACTGCTGACTGGAAACACCTCCTGGACTCTTTGCGGAAAGCAGAAAAAATTAATTTATGATTTATGGTTTTTATGATTGGGCAGGATGGATTATAGAAGAGAGAGAGACTTGTTGTAACTTTTGAGAAAGAGGTAAATTTATAATTTTACTTATAACTGCTATGAAAAGATTGCAAGACAATTCTTAGTATCTTTTTTCTTTTCTATTTTACTTTTCTTCCCTTTCTTGCACTTTTTTCTTTTTGATTTTTCTTTTTTCTTTAATTTTTATTAGTTTGTACTAGTTATCTTTTTAAAAACTTTTTATAAAATTATTTTAAAAAGACAGTGTAACATAGGCTACATTTAGGTTATGTTTCTTTGTGATGCACAGAATGAGAAACGAAGAGATTAATGGAATTGACAAGTCTGCACTGGAAAATTATAGGAACAGTCAAAGTATTTCTTTAACGCAATTTTGGAGTTAGCCACAGCTTGCTTATTTACTTATTTCAATTTAGGCGCCACCCGACTCCAAACCAACTCCCACAGAAGCAGTTATGCCTATAACTTTCATCTTATACTCTCCCAAAACAATGAAGTTATAGGCACTTTCCTTAAAAAAAATAGTATTTGGAGCTAGGATTTCTTAAAACCTCCTCATCTAGTCTCCTAAAACAGGAAAGGGATAATTTCCTTAGAGGCACCTACAATACCTGTACTCTTAATAACATACTGTAAAGGTAACTTATACCTGTGCAACTTTCCAATTTTTGCCAATGAGAGACATGAATCTTGTTCCAGACCTGGACCCAAATCAAATCAGGCAGCTCTAAGCAAGTCTGAGACATACTGAAACATAGAATCACCCCAGGTTGAATCTTATAATCAGTTTAAACTGGTGAATTTAAATCAAACATGAACTTTGCCATGATTTATCCAACTATATTAACTATGGATAAATTCCAGAATTAAACAATCATAGCTGCTATTTTACATTATGCAGTGTAGAAATTTCTGTATTACTCAAATTGTTTAATTTCCTCTAGTAGTTTGGAAGCAAGATACATTTCATTTGCTTGAAACAAAAGAGCATTATCACCTGTGTTTTAGTTTACTCTGTGTGTCTTGCTTTTAATGTATATTTGGCACTGCCCCTCAATCAGCTCTTACAGTTAAATAAAACACAGAGACTGAGCTCTACTGCAACTGCATTTTCCACAGGCAATAAAATTATATTAGATTGCTGATGGATTTGAGTATTTGTCTTTTATTAAATAATGTTTACTTCTGCTTTATTCTATTGAGAATTTTTATTGTAGTGTTTAAAACTGAATCACCAGATCATTGTCTGAAACTGTGGGTGGTGACTTAATAAATCCTAACTTCACATATGCCCCAATAGCGTTTAGGTTAGTCATACAGGTAGTCCTCGACTTACAGAGGCAACTGGGACCGGAATTTCCATTGGTAAGCAATGCAGTTTAAAGCATGACCGCCTTACTTAGCAATGGCAATCCCTGCAGTCCCAGTTGTTGTCGTTAACTGAATCCCGCAATAGTTAGCCAAAGCAATTTCCTGCCAGATTCCCACAACTAAAGTCAGTGGTAAAGCCTGCAGAAAGGTGCAAGTCCCAGGCCCGCAGGCAGGTAAATGACTGCTGCTGGTTGGGGAGGGAGTGAGGGGGTACGCAAGGGTGCAGGGGAGGGTCAGGTATGGTGCATGAGAGTGCAAGGGGGTGCATGAGAGGCACCATGCGGGTCGGGGAGGATGCACGAGGGTATGAGGGGCTGCACGAGAGGTGCTGCGCAAGTCAGGGAGGGTGTGCTAGGGTGTGAGGGGGTTCACAAGAGGTGCCACGTGGGTCAGGGTGGGTGCGCAAGGGTGTGGGGTGCACAAGAGGCACGACACAGACCAATGAGGGTGTGAGGGGGTGCGTGAGAGGTACCACATGTTTGGGGAGGGTGTGTGAGGGGCGCTGCACAGGTCAGGGAGAGTGTGTGGGGGTGTGGCACAGGTCGGGGAGGGTGCACGGGGGTGTGCAGTGTCCAGCACAGCACGAGTGCAGAGGGGCTGGGGGAGGGTGCGCAGATGGGGGAGACTTACCCAGCAACTTGCAACCTTCCCTGCCAGCTTCCCCATTGACTTTCTGGGGAAGCCAGCAGGGAAAGTTGCAAATGGCGATCACATAATCACAGGGTGCTTGGCAACCAGTTGTGTGAATGGGTTGCCAAGCACCCAGATCATGATCATGTGACTGCAGGAGTTCTGGGACAGCCAGAATTCAGTAACCCCCATCGGTTCAGCACCATCAAAACTTGAAACGGCCGCTGGAATATTCTTGGAATACCATGCATACTTCTAGATGCAAAAAAAAATGTAATAACAAAGGTACAGAAAGGACATCCAGAATAATCAGAGAACTAAAACAACTCTCCTATGAGGAAAGTAACAAGTTTCAGGATTAGTTTAGAAAAAGGAACCAATTTGGTATGTGGAGCATGTGAATGAAGGAAGCGAATACACAAATGTACTTCTCAATCTCTCACAATCCCAGGAACCCGCAGCATGTCGTTAACCTAAATGTAATGATGGCCATAAACCTAGCTTTAGAAGGGGGTCAGAAAGTTCAGTGGAGAGCTTGTCAACGACTACAGGATATAAGGGCATGATATTTAAGATCAGAGGAATACTAGTTGCAAAGGAACAAGAGCAGATAAGATTTTTGTTCTGATATCATACTTTGACTCTACTATGTATGCTTGACAGGTTGCTGTGAGAAACAAGTGTATACTCTGATCCAAGTAGGCTTTTAAGTTGTGATGAATCTAAACAAAACAGTTGATTACAGTTCAATAATAATTAAAAAAAAAACTAAAATACTAATGAGCAAGCAATGTGAATTTGGGGCTTTGTCACTATTACTATCACACTGCAGTTGATGTACCAGTTAAAGCATGGAAATTATATTCTACTGCTCCCTGTTACATGTATCTTACCCAATTCATGTGGCAACTCATGACAAAAGACTGCAACAGATGTACTTAAGCCACTAGATAAACCTTCAGTGAAAGCAGCCCCTAGGAAAATTCAAAGAAAATTATTAAAAGCAATCACATTGAAAATGTAGTGAAATCCATAAATAAATTGAAATGAAGCAAGAAGCTTTCTAATCAGTATTGTGCATAGTATAATTGTGGTATTGCAAGAACCATGCATTAGAATCAGAAAGCATACAAGGGAAAACAAGAAAGAAATGACTAGTTGTAAGGCATATGTTCCCTATAAAGAAAGGTTAAAAAATTACATCCATTTACTTATTGAACAAAAGCTATATACTTTCAGCTAGTCCTGAAAGGCCATTCTTATTTCTATTTCAATTTTAGTGAAGATAATCAATTTCCTCTCTCTGTACTTGCTTAGAATTTAGATTTAAATGAAGAATAGTTTACAAGTACATGAAAATCACAAAACTACAGCATTTAATAATATGTAATCAGATAAAGAACAAAGGCACTAGCAACATGACTACTGGTAGTCCTCACTTAACGATGGTAATTGGGACCAGAATTTCTGTCGCTAAGCAACATGGTCATAAAGTGTGGCATCACATGACCGTGCCGCTTAACAATGGCAGTTCCAGTTGTTGTTAAGCGAATCACTGTGGATTGTTAAGTGAGGATGTCATGTGGTTGCCATTTGCAACCTCCTGCCAGCTTCCCCATTGACTTTGCTTGTAGGAAGCCAGCAAAGAAGGTCACAAATGACAATCACATAACCATGGGGATGCTGTGACCTATGTCAACACTGTTGTAAGTTCGAACAATCATTGAACAAGTGGTCATTAAGTGAGGACCACCTGTAATTTTATGTACTTTAGAACTAAGTCATCTTGATTCTTGGCTATAACAGGAAAAAGTAACCAATTACTAGTAGAGCCTATAGACAGACAGACAGACAGACAGACAAGATTGTTGCCTACCTAACTGCTAGTTATGTTTAAGTAAAAAAACACAGATTTTAATGAATTCAAAATCTATGATATATCTATAATTGGCTGGGAAAGTACTGAGAGTTCTGATAGGCTTAATTCTAACAGAAATCTCTCATTATACCTCTTCTGGATTTACAAAAATGCCAGTTGAATCGGAGCTTCCATTTACACATATGAAATAGTAGCTGTAGGGAAGCCTAAAAGTATGCACTCACCAATTGCGAGACCATCACTGAAGTTATGCAGACCATCTCCCATTATTACCATCCAGGCTAAAGTAGCTATACCAGCATCTTTCAATTCTTCACGGGAATACCGCTGGCTATGGCTATGTGGGTGATGGTTTTGATGATGATGGTGATGTAAAATATGATGGTAATCATGGTGATGATGACTGAGATGATCTGACTGCCCTAGAGTGTCATGCAAGTGTGAATGGCATTTGTTTCTACATCCTCTGGATGCATATTCATGATCAGCAGTCTCTTTGTGGGTATGTGCTATCATGACCTCTTCTTCTTCTTGTACCACTGGTTTCTGAGACAGGAAATTTGATGGCTCTTGAGAATGTACCCCCAAATAAGTTTCAGGCCCTTGGAGGAAAAAAAAGAAAACAACTCAAGTAATTATCCAATTAAAGAAAAAAGAGATCAGAAATAATCAGAATACTTGCTATATAGCTAAAGAGGCTTTAGCTGTTTTATTTTTACATATCTTTATTGGAAGTACTGTATACCATGTAGGTAGGTAAAATGTGTTCTGATCTATTTTATGCTTTAGGACAAACTTATGTATGCAAGCCAGGCACACTCTACCCATACATTATGCCACATGTTTAGGATCATTGTAACTTAAAAAACCAGGCTATGCATAAATGCATCTAAAGTGAGGGTTCCCAACACGTGCCCATAATAATCAAAGCAAACAACTCCCTCGACACCCATCAGGTTTCCTGTCCCACCTCATTTTTTAAAAAATAGATTCTGTTCATAAAAAACTAAAGTGCCATTCATTAGAAAACAAAAATGGCAATGACTATAACCCATTTATTTGCAGGTGTGTCCACATGCCTGGGAAAAAAAAAGTGGGGATAATAGGGATCACCCAGGAATATCTTCATGATGGCAACTTTTTTTTTTTTTTTTAAACAGGAACATTTTCCATTACAATGGGAATGATTTAGTAACAACTTTCACGGCATGACTTTAAAATTTCCAATATGTCCACCAGCAGAAATGGTTCTAAACCCTTGTCTTACAGCATGTAGAAATCCATTTGAGAAGAACCTCTGCTGTAGGAAGTGGTACAAACTGAACAGTCATTTTCAAAACATATTCTTACTCATAAAGGCCACATCAACTTCTGATGGATCAACATAGTATAGGTAGGCCTCACTACATTTTTTGATTTGGCTAATAATTTATTAGGAGCATGCACATATAACTATTAGAATCCAGAGACATATGAAAGAATAGCTAGCAATCTGTGAGGGCAGTGAACATGAATCTCTATCTGCAAAAACTCAGGGTGAGAAAAAAGAGATGACATACACAAGAGCCAGCTTGGTGTAGTTGTTAAGGCATCAGGCTAGAAACTGGGAGACCGTGAGTTCTAGTCCTGCCTTAGGCACAAAGCCAGCTGGGCGACCTTGGGCCAGTCACCCTCTCTCAGCCCTAGGAAGCAGGCAATGGCAAACCACTTCCAAAAAACGGTGCCAAGAAAACTGCAGGGCATTGTCTAGGCAGTCGCCAGAAGTCAAAAACTGACTTGAAAGCACACACACACAAAAAAAGGCAATGGAGAGAAGCTCTTATGGAGCAAAAAGCAGGAATGAAGAAGAGGTTGCAATAAAGAAAAATTAATATCATGTTTTCTGATATGACTTTAGTAGCCTCTAGTGGAGAAATGCAGGAAGCTGCCAATAAAGTCTAAATAATTACAGTAATAATGCATAATGATGAAAAATTGTGGAATTAAGCGTAGTCAGGGATATTACAAAACAATCCCTGCAGCCACTTACAAGCAACCCTCCCTGCTACAATGATTAGACTTTTTGTAAGGTTTTTCTTTACAACTGTAGTGGCCATTTTTCAAAGCCTGGGACTGGGAAGGGAGCTTCTAGATTGTCAGGAACTAAGTTGCATGTAGGCTACACTATTTCAAATTTATCTTCCCTATTCTAATATTTGGAACCTAAAAGGGGCTGAAAAAATAAAACTGCAGATCAATGCTAAGTCAACACTCTTTTATGACAACAATAAAATGCTTTTTAAAGGAATGCATCTCATTAATTTTTCTCTCTAATGGAATGGTTTCTATTAACAGAGAAGGGAGAAGACAATTCCCATTCCCTTTTTAGTATATTTGTCAGGGATGGGGGGACAACAGGGAAAGTCCTGCTGCAAGGGAGATGAGAAAAAGTAAATTCTCCTTTTTACATACAATACTAGAAAGTGAACTATCATGCATTTAAGCTTGAAACTAATATCATGTATTTTATTTTTGTTCATTCTTGGCTTGTAATAAAAAGTTTGCTGGAACTCTCTACTGCTCTATTAACCACAAGAAAATCATAGGCTTTTTGAAACTGCAGATAAAACACATGCAAAATAGAACAAAACAAAAACCTAAGCACCAAAGTAGCATGTTAAGATAGTTAAGAAAGAACAAACATAATCTGCTTTACAGAAAACCAAACATTACAACATTTGAAAATAAGTTTTCTAATATCAAGGTAACCTAGAAGATATTTCATAGACAATTCTATAAAATGATTGTGCCTTAATCAATAGGTACATGACACTAAAAACAAACTGCAAATTTCTTCCTGTTCTAAAAACATTTTTCAACATCTTTCTGAAAAAGGATAACTTCAGTTAGCATAAGGTACAAACATTCTGCTTGCAACAATGAAAATCATACCTTGAAAAATTAGAACTTTTCCACACAATAAATTGAACATTACCAGACAAGAACAGCTTGAATGTTTCAGACTACTGTAAAATCTCCATTTAATGGCGCATTCAAGGAGAAGGGGTGATAGTTAAACCCAAATGTCTGTTAAATCTGACATGCATTGGGTTCTTGGCAGAAATCAATACTGCAGCTGCTGTCTTGTGCCTTAGCTGCTGTGGAGATAACCAAGAGGAATGAGTTCACTGGCTCTATGGGAGCAGGAAAGACTTATGTGACTTCCTAAAAGTCAAGCCTATAATGTCCTGGTGCATTGCATACAGAGGCTACAGACAGCATCTTCCCAGTACAGTTCCTGCCAATTTTCTATTGCTGTCACTGCCAATATAGCATGACATATTCTACCGGTCCATTACCCTGATCCTCCCCAACATCTTCCTGTTGATTGGAGGAGCAGATGGTTTGATAATCCTGCTTAGCCTACTCGGCTCCATATAAGTAGCTCAGGACTCCAGGCTCAGCAGAGAAACTGTGATGGCAATACTAAAGATGTAGGTACATGTGTTGGTTGTAGTTCTAGGATATGAAAGAAACAGCAAAGGAATTTTTTAGAATTTTTGAGAACTTTCCATAAAGTAGCATTAGGAAGGTAACAGATTATTCAGCATGGCTGAAGAAGCTCAGATGCAGGTGAGTCTTCTGAGGAGAAATACCTAAAGGAGACAAAGTCTATAGAGATTCAGTGTGTACCTAAAATGTTCTGTACAGTACAGATGAGTCTATAATATTGCATTTCAGGGAAAGAGAATTGAAGTGAAAGATGTTGCTTGATACTGAAAGGCTGAACGAGAACATCAGGATTAACTGCTTGATTTTCTTTCAGCAGCAAGAAAAATAACCACAGGTAGTCCTCATTTAGCAACCACTCGTTCAGCAACCTTTCAAAGTTATGACAGCACTGAATGAGGAGACTTACAGCCCGGTCCGAAGTTGTGGCCGTAGCATCCCCATAGTCATGTGATCGTGATTCAAGCACTTAGCAATTAGCTTGCAATTACGATGGTTGCAGTGTCCCACGGTCACGCGATCACCATTTGCAACCCTCATTGCCAGATTCCGACAAGCAAAGTCAGTGGGGAAGCTGGCAGGAAGTCGCAAGTCGCAGTCACATGACATTGCACTTAACAACTGAGCATGATTTGCTTAATGACTGCAACTGGAACTGCCAGAACTGCCATCGTAAGTTGGCGCGGGTCACATGATTTTTTGTTTTATGACTGTGTCGCTTAACGATGGAGTTCCCAGTCACAATTACAGTTGTTAACTGGGGACTACCTGTACAACTGGAAGAACAAGTGTCTACAAGTGGAAGCCTAGCAGCAAGAAAGTCAGCTAGAATTGGAAGAGCAGCATCTTCAAGAGGAGGCCCAGCAGTGGGAATTCAGAGAAAACTTCAGCTGGAGGAACAGTGATTACAAAAGGTGAAAGAACTGACCCTGTGGCAAAATTATTCAAGGAGACAGGCTATACCAGCAAGATTTGTTCAGGGAGAAAATCCAAAGCAGTTCCTTTCCTTCTTTGCTGTTTGAGAAAGCAGCATGGAATTGAAAACTTCAAGAGAAAGACTTTGACATTTATCCCAGCCTTATTTCAGGCAACCTTGAGAATAGCTATGAGAAGAATGACTATTCCTCTGCTAATTTTAAAATCTTGTATTTAAAAGTTCTTAGTTGGAGAATAGTTTTAATTAGTTTTATTTACAGTCCAAAAACAATAATAAAAATAAATTAAACACCATGGATAATAAATAAACGAAAAATTACAAAGCAAGCCTGAAAAGTTAATAAAGTAAAGAAGGCACCAAATTATTTCTGTAAGTCCTAGCTATTGCTAAAAAACTGTAGAGGGGAATGAGCCACATTGATAAATTGTAAATAATTGTGGGGCACAAAGGAATAGTTGGTGCTAATCAGCTGTTCGGCGGCTGGCAGCACCACAGCAGGGATGGAGCTGGTGGTATCAGGGTTGGAGGTGCTCAGCAGTATGTCTTTTGGGGTGGCGGTAACATTTGGCAGCAGTGAATTTATGGAGTTTTAGTTACCATACATGGCCCACAGATTGTAGATTGTACAGGCCTGCTCTAGATGATAAGAGCAGTTCAATTTTCTGACAGTTGGTGTTATTAAGATCCATTTGCCATTGGGTGTACAGTAGGCAATTTAGCAGCACATATGATACAGATTCTGTATCTGTATCTGAACATACACAAGTGCAGTTTTCATAAGGGAAGCTGCTATAGCTACCCGTTGTCACTCTAACAGGTAAATGTATCAATTTGGGCCAGGGAGAAAAATCTCCTGTGTGGGGCATGTAAGATGATGAAGAAATATCTAGGTAGGGATAGTCCTGAGGGCAGGGGGGAATAGTTTAGAAAGTGATTAGAAAGTGAGGTTACTGAACTCAGTGTCCTTCAAAAGGCTCCACCGTGGCTACTGAGGGAGGTATGGTAAACTGAAGATGGCTCTGCAAAAGTGGAGCCGACAACTGTGGGAAAGACTAAGGAACTGGTGAGTAGACCCATTCCTTGGAACCTCTCTGGATGAGAGGATGAGAGATCACCCACATGTGCTCCAGACAGCTGCTCTTCACGAGACAGCAGGACAGCAGTTTTCCATGGGTTTGAGTGGTGAAGGATGAC